GGCTCTGTCTCAAAAAAAAAAAAAAAATAGTTTCAGGTGTTACAGTTAAGTCTTTATTTCTTTTTGAATTGATCTTCCTATGGTGAAAGATGGGAATCTAATTTCATTTTTCTGCAAATGGGTATTCCATTCCCAGCACCATTTTAAAGAGATTGTTCTTTCCCCAATGTAGGTTTTTGGTGCCTTTGTCAAAAATGAGTTAGCTGTAATGTATGGATTTATTACTAGATTCTTTCTTCCGTTCCATTTGTGTGTGTATCTGTTTTTATGCCTGTACCATGCTGTTTTAGTTACTGGAGCCTTGTATTATAATTTACAATCAGGTTAGTATGAAGCCTTCAGCATTGTTCTTTTTGCTCAGGATTGCTTTGGCTATTCAGGGTCTTTTGTGGTCTCCAGATGGCATTTAAAGTTGGTTTTCACTGATTAGAAGGAATGCTTTTCACGCAGATCATTTCTGAGCCATCTGCTGACCTGTAGCAGGGAATGAACCTCATCTAAAGAACGAACCACTGGGCATTACATGGAGGCACGGGCCTCTCACGAGATGGGATGGGTATGAGAGGGTTTGCTCCAGGTTGTTTGAGCCCTTATGGGGAACTCTTGCCTCAGTTCCCAGCAGCCAGACTGGTGCCTTCCAGTTCCCTGACCCTCCAGTCTTACGCAGTGGTGGCCTGCACTGTGTGGACTGACAGGAGATTGGCCTGTGTGCATGTTGTCTTACAAAGCCTTTATTTCAAATATTGCTCCTGCCACAGGGGGCCCATGTGACCATCAATGCACGGGCTGAGGAAGATGTGGAGCCTGAGTGCATCATGGAGAAGGTAGCCAAGGCCTCTGGTGCCAATTACAGCTTTCACAGGGAGAGTGGCCGCTTCCAGGACATGGGGCCCCAAGCCCCAGTGGTAAGTGCTGCCTTCCCATCACCTACCCTGTTATTACTGTGGGCTCAAGGGTGGGGGATAAGGAATGCGAGTTCTCGGCATCCAGGCCAGCTGAGCCCTGCCTTCCTCTGATGTTAACTCCCCATCATCTGATCTTAACCCCCTACACTGTGGTGGGTGCCCATTAACAGATGGGCAGAAGTGGTTGCTCTGAGGCCGTACCTGGTAGTTGGATGAACTGTCCTGAAGCCTTTGTCTGGAGTCCACTCTGTGTGGTTGTGGTGAAGGCTCTATAGGATGTGATTGTCCAGCTGCCCTCCAGGCCACAGCACCAGTACGTCCTGGAGATAGCTGCTGTGGAGGAACTTCAGGCAGCATGAGGGTAGAGCCCAAAGCCAGAGCAGGCCCCTCCAAGTCATGAGATACCTGCTGCTAGGAGGAGCCGACAGCTGGGAACTGCATCCTCATACGTGTATGCAGTTGGGATCAATGGTGATTCCTGTAGATCAGTGGTTCTCAACCTGTGGGTTGCAACCCCTCTATAACAATGAAAATACATCCTGCATAGCAGATATTTACATTACGATTCATAACCATAGCAAAATGACAGTTATGAAGTAGCAACGAAAATAATTTTATGGTTGGGAATCACCACAACATGAGGAACTGTATTAAATGGTTGCAGCATTAGGAAGGTTGAGAACCACTGCTGTAGATGCTGTTACACTACTAGGCTGTTGGGGAGTGGCCCCTAGCCAGAAATACTCGTTGTTCCTGAGTATGCAGATGGGATTGCAGGGGCCTTTCTTGCCATGGCCCCCATTTATGAGGGCCAGGTGCCACCAGATACGACTACAGTGCTGTCTGGAGTCAATGGACAAGGCTCTGCTGCCTCTGCTGGGTCCAGTCCTAGCAGCTGTCCCCTGTGCTCTTGAGAATCTAGTGAATTCAACCTACCTTTGGTGTCTGTAGGCCTGACCTCCCATCCCTGCGCCTGGGTAACTAGTGAGTGCTCTGTTCCCTATAGGGCTCTGTGTACCAGAAAACCAATGCTGTATCTGAGATCAAAAGAGTTGGCAAAGACAGCTTCTGGGCCAAAGCTGAGGTGAGTGCTGCTGGGGAGGACTAGGCATATGGAGGAAAGAGCACTGCTTGACATCTCAGTTTTCTCAAAACAGCATCTGGTTTCCTCAGCACCGGTTTATAGATGGTCAGATTAGGGTGTAGATGAGTCAAGTCCAAGCTTGGCAAGTGACTGGCTCTGGCTCCCACCCTTGACCACATGCCTGTGGGACCCAATCCAGGACAAGGTGAGACTGAGGGGCAGCATGGGGCTGAGGTGGAGCCTTTCTCTGCAGAAGGAAGAGGAAAACCGGAGGCTAGAGGAGAAGCGGCGGGCTGAGGAGGCGCAGAGGCAGCTAGAACAGGAGTGCCAGGAGCGGGAGCTACGTGAGGCTGCATGCCGGGAACAGCGCTATCAGGACAGGTGAGCTGGAGGTGGGGGCTTGTGGGGGACTTGGGGAGCCCAGCCCCAGCATTCACTCATCCTGCAGAGACAAGGATGACTGAGGGGCACGTCACAAGGGGCTTAGCTATGACTTCCTCCCTCTCTTCCCAGAGGGACATGTGAGCAGCAGCAAGACATAATTTCAAGGAACAGAGTGGAGCAGGTGAGATGTGGTTGCCCTTCTCATTCAGGCCTGTCATAGTCATGTGGGGCAGTCTTTGGTCTCAGGGTGAGGGCTCAGCCCAGGCCTCAGTAGAGGCTACCCTGCAGCCAGCTAAGGCAGATTGGAATCTGGGTGCAGGAGCTGCATAATGCCACTCCCGGGTCCTGGGAGGGGCCCTGTGAACCCCACATATACCTTTGAGGGGCTGCCATCTGGGGAGGGGCAGTGGCGTTTCTTGCCCACTGCCAAAGTCAACATGTGCTCCCCTCCAAAAGTCTGCCAGCCCACAAACCACACATGCGAGGGAGATCTTCAAGCAGAAGGAGAGGGCCATGTCCACCACCTCCGTCTCCAGCCCTCAGCCAGGTGAGACCTCCCTCTGTGCCTGGCCATAAGGCAGGGCAGGCTGAGGGAAAACGTGGGACCTATGTAGGACCTATGGGCAGGTGACAGATACATATCAGAGGGTGGCCAGGATGTGTGAGAGAGGAGGAAGGACTTGGGCCTAGGTATCCTCTTTTGCTCTCGACTTCGTCATCAACAGTACTGGTCACCACTTTGGCCCCCAAAGAACACAGGGCTGCACCGTTCACCAGCTCACCACACACCACTGGGTCTCTGTGCCTGTGCAAGCTGGGACAAGTCCCAGGAGCCTGCTGTGAGCATACCAGGGATGTGTGTACACACCAGATGATGTTTCTGAGGTGGTGTTGTGTGTGTCGTTTGCCCGGTTTGCAGGAAAGCTGCGGAGCCCCTTCCTGCAGAAGCAGTTCACCCAGCCAGAGACTCCCTTCAGCAGAGAGCCGACTCCTGCTATCCCAAGGCCCAGGACAGGCAAGGCACTTGTTCCTTATGGGGACACTGGAAGGGGACAATGGTGGAGAAGGGGGACATGTGGGAGTCAGAACTCTGCATTCCTGGTGCAGATCTCTATGAGGAGCTGGCGCCCAGCATTCCTCCATGTCTGGTGCAGGCGGAAGAGGAGACCGTGTATGAGGAACCCCCAGAGCAAGAGACCCTCTATGAGGAGCCCCCACTGGTGGGTCCCCTGCAGTGGAGGTGGGACCACGAAGGGGCTGCACACTCAGGAACACTGATCAAAGGACACCTCAGTTTCCTGGGGCATGCTGTGGGTTTTAAAGCACATGTGGATTATTTTAATTTTTGCAGCATCCCTTTGCCATAAGTCCCTGGGCAGACACCACACTATGAGAGATGCTGGGTGGGGAGAGCACCTTGTAGCCCACAGCTGCATATTTGCCACTGCCCTGTGACTTTTATACCCAGTGGTTGGGTGGGGACAGCAGTAACCCCTAAGCCCATAGTCTGGTTTCCCTCTGTGCCCTCCCATCTTGACCTGAGCTTCGTGGGACAAGGACTGGGTGTTGAGCTGAGTCTGGGGTAATATCTTCTTGTCCTTGGTCAGGTACAGCAGCAAGATGTTGGCTCTGGGCACATTGACCTTCATATGCAAGGCCAGGGGCTCAGTGGGCAAGGGCTTTGTGCCCGGGCCCTGTACGACTACCAAGCAGGTAAGGTGCTCTGGTCTGGCAATCACAGAGTTAGCAGACAGGAGGGTCTGGGGCTGTATGGGGAGGATGGCACTGAGAAGTTAGGAAGGTAGGAAGTGCCTTTAGGGGAGAAACACCTCTGCCATGGGATGACTGTGGCACTGGAGCACCTGTCCCACACAGCTTAGGCCTGCCCACGTGCTCCAGGCAGCTATTCACTGGTCACCAGTGGGGATCTGGGTTGCCATCCTTATAGAACCCAGAGGTCAGACTAGGCAGGTGGGCCAAGCCTGGCTGCTGGTTCCCCAGGCATCCTTGGGTGGAGGTCTTGGGGGAAGGGAACAGAGGCTCTCCAGGGAGTAGGCTGGTGCAAAAGGCTACTCCAGCCTTTTGCAGGGGACTCTTTGTAGGAAGGTGTGCCCTGGGGGTATGGTCACAACATACAGCTCCTCTTAGGCAGAGGCTTAGCAGGATGTCTGAGGGATAGTTCCAAGGAGGAAGCAGAGTACAGTGAGGTGTGCTGGGGGCTGCCCGAGCAGGCAAGCTGGGGGATTGAGTTGTCAGAGGGGACCCTGATGCAGCATCTGGGTTTGCCCTTCTTGCAGCTGATGACACGGAGATCTCCTTTGACCCTGAGAATCTCATCACAGGCATCGAGGTGATCGATGAAGGCTGGTGGCGTGGCTATGGGCCAGATGGCCACTTTGGCATGTTCCCTGCCAACTATGTGGAGCTCATTGAATGAGGCTGAGGCCCATTCTTCCCTTCCCTCTCAGACATGGCTTCCTTATTGCTAGAAGAGGTGGCCTGAGAGTTAAGTTTGGCTCTTTGAGGATTGGAATCCCTAATGAGGACAAAGCTTCAGGGTTCCTGGGCTTGGGTGGCTCGGCCTGTCACCTAGATGCAGCAATTACCTGGTGATTTCCAGACATGCTTCCTGCAGCCTTCCAGATCCTTTCAGGCAGCTTGGCCCTTGACCCCAACAGGAAATTGAGCCGATTTCTGCCTGTGGCCAGCCCCTTGGTGACCTCTGAGAGTCCACTGCCAAGCTGGGGGCAGGGGCTCTGAGCAGAGGCATCTGGAGGCTCCCAGCTGCCTTCTACATTTGGCTTCTTTTTCTCATGCTTGCAGGGGTTGGTGGCTGTTTAGAATGACCTTAGAAAATTGCTTTTAGCGGAATGTGTGCACATAGTCAGAGTGATAGGACAATTTTGAGTGGGGAAGCCATCTTACTGGAACCTCCCCTGTGCCCCTGCTCCATTTCTCTGTCCCTCTGCCTGAGCTATGGGAAGTAGGGACAAGGATGACCAACCCTCCATCTCTGGGTACGTGAAAACAACAGACACAATGTGCTCTTCTGTGTGGCTCACTCATGTCTGCGGCCCCAGTGTGCACCTCAGCTGATTCTGGCTTCAGGAAAAGTAACACAGAGTGGCCTTTACCTGTTGTCTGCCCCTATTTTCTGTCCCAGCCCATCTGTGTCTTTGAAGAACAAACCTGCATTTAATCTAAGAATTGCCAGTTGGGTTCACACACGTTCCCAGCTCTGAGCTGCCCTGTGTCTAGGGTGGACACGTGTGTGCATGTATCCTCAGACCTGTGCAGCTGCTGATAGGAAGAGTGTCAACGTGACGATGTGACTGGAGCTAGAGCCCTCCTGTGTTCTGATTCCCTTGGGAAAGGCCAAGGGCCCAAGGGCTGCTTGGCCTGCTACCTGCCTCAGGGAGCCTCTGCTTACAAGGGACAGAGTGCATGTGTGGAATGAGGTATACACCAAGCATCTGGAGAATTAGAGTCACTTCTGCCCTGGGATGTGCTAGGCAGACACATTCAACTCCCAGCCCCACCTGCTGGCTGCATAGGATGAAGGCTGCACTGAGGAGTCTACTGAGCCCAAGCCCTTCTCTATCCTTCCTGCCCCTTAGGCCTCTCTCTTTTCTTACCAAGCTTCCTGGTTTCTCTCCCATGAAGATGGTGGCCCCTCTACAGTCCCCCTCTCCAGCTGTGGCTCTAAGTTGCTAGCTCTGAGGCTCCTATAAGCTTGTCTGTCCCATCCAAGATGTGGGGCTCAAGGTGCCATCCTGGGGTCTACAGGGACACCAGCGGAGCACCCGTCCTTTGTAGGAAGATGGCAGAGAAGTAGTGTCCTTGGTACATTCCTTGTTTCCCACAGGAAGAGCTGGGTCTCTTGGCCTCTTCTCCCTAAGTGGCCCCAAGCACACTGATTCTAGAACATTGTTATCAAATGGCCCTGATGCTTCAGGGTCACCAAAGGGGTTTGTCCAGAGTGTAAATTTCTGGGGTGGATGCATCCCTCGCTCAGAAGCCTGATGACTGGATAGGCAATTGGGCTCCTGCCCCTGGTGACATGGGTTTTGTGGGGATAGCTGTACCGTGGTTCCTGGGGTCCACAGTTACTGGTGGGGGTGAACAGGGGCAGGTCAGGCCCCAGAGGCCAGGCCTGAGGAGCCAGCCTAAAGAACCTAGCATGCCTAGCCACACTGACCCCAGGCAGTGGAGGAGGCACCTTTATTGCCCAAGCCCACCCCTCACTTGGCCTTGCCCTGGGCAGCCACAGCTTCCATGGCCTTCCGCACTGTCTCCTCATCACCCAGGAACTGCATGGGTTTGGTGGGCTTCAGTGCCTGGTCCAGCTCGTACACGATGGGAATCCCCGTGGGCAGGTTCAGATCCATGATGGCCTGGTCTGACATCCCTGGACAGGAGGTACAGGCATCCTTAGCACCCCCTGCCATACAGCAGGTGCTGTGACCTTGATAGGCCACAGAGCCAGTCCCACCTGACATCACCCTCCCAGTCCAGAGAGTAAAGTCACAGAAATGGACCTAATGATCGAGGCAAAACTGAGTTGACCAAGAGCCTGTTAGTGGTAAATCACATGGGAACCTTGTCCCTGCCTAAATGGCTGTGGCCTGAGGTGTGCCATCCCCAAACTCAGCCCAGGGTGAAGCCTGGCCAGTCAGAATTTGATGGTCAGGAGAGACATTAGCTGTTTGGTTTTAGGGTGTTCCCAGTTGTAGACATCCTGAGCAGAGGAGAAGGCGAGGAAGGGGGCTGAAGGAGGAACAGGGAGATAGGCCTGCTGAGGAGGTACAGGGGAGGCGGTGCCAGACTGAAACCTGACCCTGCCTGCCTCCTGTAGCCCCTGTGCTGGGAATAGTAGCTCGACCTTTGGTGTTCACAACACCTCACCCCCCCCTCTGTGCAAGAAAAAGGCCTTAAGAGGATGTTCTCTGGGGAGTGAGGGACACCCTGACTCACATCAAAATCCTGCATTCACCTTGGGACATCCCCTTCCTGCAGACCCAGTTATGAGAAGCACATGGGGCAAGTGAAGCTCCCAGAAGGGAGGGGTGGCAGTGCCAGGTGTGAAGTGCTGTGGGTACACTAGCAGATTTGGGGACAGGCTGAGTGCTCTGGCTAGCTGCCCATTAGCCCTCAGGAGCAAGAGATTTGGGGCACACCCTGCTCCCTTCTTGGCTTTCCAGGGTCCCAGCAAACTTGAAGGTTATTCAGATGCTAAATTTAGACTGCCCTGGTGTCTAGGCAGTGGAGGGGCCAGGTCCTTTGTAGGGAAGGTCTCTTGTGCTTTACCCTTAGGGCTGTTTGTCAGGCCTTTTTGCCCCTCTTTTGACTGGTTTTGCCTTTGCTGGGAGAGGGTGTGTGTAGGGAGACAAAGGGGGAATGAGCAGGAGTTCTTTGGGTCCAAGCTGGGCCTACATCAAGAGGCAGGAAGTACTAGGATCCCGAGTAGCTCCTGCCACCCCAGCAACTTTAGTGGCTTGTCCAGGGTCCCACTGTAAACCAGAATTTGGGGGCAAATTCTCTGAGTTGGGGTCATTCTTTTTCCCAGTTGGGTGTTTCCCAGTTTGGGCAAGATTCCACTCTCTGCAGACAGCGCTGTTTGGTGGCCCTTCCTCCCAGGAATGGCCTGGGCCCCCGTCAGTGCTGTCCAGATTTTTAACCCACAGCCTGCAGAAGGAAGCACTTTACAGGGTGTCCTCTGCAGAAATGAAGTAAAAGCTTTTACGTGGTGTCCTACACAGAAGCTAAAGCATCAGAAAACTATTTTTTAAATGGTTACTCAGCCTTCCCTAATCAACAGTTTGAAAGCCCCATGTCTGGAAGCCTGCCTCCACCAGGCACTGGGAACTTGGGCTCAAGTGAGAAGTTTGGGCTGGCACACTCCCGAGGGTGGGCCTTACCTTCCAAGTGCTTGACGATGCCCCTCAGGCTGTTCCCGTGGGCCGCAATAAGCACTCTCTTGCCAGCCTTGATCTGGGGAGCAATTTCCTCATTCCAGAAGGGCAGGGCCCGTGCGATGGTGTCCTTCAGGCTCTCACACGTGGGCAGCTCCCCAGGCTTCAGGCCTGCATACCGACGTTCCTGGGGAACACAGAATGCTACCGTTCCCTCCCTAGACAGCTGGCTCCCTCCCAGGGTCCCAACCCTGCCACCTCCCAGAGACCTTCACTGCACAGCTCACCTTGCTGATGGAGTTGTAGTAGGGGTGCTTCTCGTCCATGGGGGGCGGTGGGGTGTCAAAGGAGCGCCTCCAGATCTTCACCTGCTCCTCACCATGCTTGGCGGCCGTCTCTGCTTTGTTGAGGCCCGTGAGACCCCCGTAGTGCCGCTCGTTGAGGCGCCAGGTGCGTACCACGGGCAGCCACATCTGGTCTGTGCCATCCAGGATGGCCCAGAGGGTGCGAATGGCCCTCTTCAACACTGAGGTGTAGCAGATGTCAAACTCCATCTTGGCATCCTTGATGGCTTTGGCTCCCCGCTTGGCCTCCTCGGCCCCCTTCTCACTCAGCTCTGCATCAAACCAGCCACAGAAACGGTTCTCCTGGTTCCAGGTGCTCTCGCCATGTCGGACCATCACAAGACGGTGGGTGGCCATGGTGGCAGCAGAGACAACAGGGACTCTGAACAGCTGCAGTGCAGCACCTCCAGCTCATAACAGTCATCCCCAGCCCCCACTGCAGCCAACTGCCAATCAGCATTCTGGGCAGACTGCTGGTGGCCAGTAGAGCTGCCGGTGAAGAGGGAGCTACTGGCCAAGGAACTGTGCCTAAAATAGCCCCCACAACCACCAGCTCTGGCCTGGACTCAGGTGGCCTGTCTACAACCAGCCCAGGGCCCAGGCTAGGCGGGTCCGGGCAGCAGGAATGGAAGGGCTCTACAGGGGCAGACTCCTTCAGGTTGGGACTCTATTTTTTTTTTTTTTTT